GCCCCTGGGAACAAAAAAAAATTAAAAATATCCATATTAAGGACCACCCTAAAGTGTATGTATATTAATTAGCGCTTCTCCTTTTTGTTTGAATTATTTGTATGTACTGAAGATAAGTCAAACAAAAACTCGAAACGTAAGCTATTTTATTCAAGATATTCATCTTCATTAATTTTTACTATTATTGAATGGATTTTTTAAAAAAAATTCATCATACACATACATATATATTCTAATTGTGTCCATTTTAATCCTAAAAATCGATTATGCTCTTTGTAAATACTATTTCCTCAAAATCTAGTAGGTACGTTTTATGTGAATTTTTACTACCACTACTTTTTACTACCATCTCCAAAGAAATAAGAGTGTAAATAATATTTTCCTATCCCATTAAAACTTTAATCATTAGCTTACAATCCGCATACAAAAAGTCTAGTTAAATATTTATCTTCAAAGATTATTTAAAGAAAGTTTTCGACATACTTGAAACTGAATAAGTTTTCGACATGTTTGAAACAGAGCAGAACAAAATAGTTAGTTTTAACAAGAGTTTCAAGTAGTTCTTTCTGTAGAATATATTTAAAGTTGGTTAAAAGTTAGCTTTTTATTATATAACAGATTTTAATATGGCTCATTCACAAAAACAGAAACGGATGTTAGTAATAATAATACTCATATATATTTTTTTTATTTTCTTATAAATTACAATCTGTCTAAATAGAAAGACATTGAGTAATTAATTTGACAAATAACATAGAATTTTAAAAGGAAAACCCAGTGGTTCGCCTTTAATTAATATACTAAATTATATCTTAATTAAATTTTGGTATTAATAATACTCATATAACATCAAAATTACTGAATGTATATATTTATTTATTTTTGAAATATATTGTAATTACTAACTAGTGGTGCATGGCATCGTGCCTTAAGGCAAATTGCTGGAACTTCCCGTACCAAAAACTAAATTATTAAAAAAAACTTTGCAAAACTTTGAAACAATTAGATTTTTGAAAAATTTTGAAATTTTTGAAGAAATTTGACTTTTTTCAAAGATTTGATTTTTTTTATATTTTGATTTTTTTGCATTTTGATTGATTTTGAAAATTTTGAACATTTTTTTTAAGTAATCGCGCTGCATAGCTGATTTGGAGTCGAAATATCAAAGCGCATTGGTACGGAACCCATATAAATGTACACAAAATTTTTACTTATCATTATAATCTTTATAAAATATATGATAATACGATGTGCATATGTCTAATGTTTGTTTTTGACCGCCAAATGGCATTATTTTTGACTTTTTTTTATTGGATCTCCGGAGACGCTGGACTGCCTTTACAAAAATTATACCAGTTGTTCATTTCTTCAATACAAGTAAAATGCTTTTTAACTATTTAAATCGGACACTCCGTTATCTCAAAAACTGATATACCATTTTTGCCACTTTTGCCCCGTATCTCCGAAACGGCTAGATCTGCCTTTGCCAAAAACTAATCAGCACGTCTCCTTATCAGTAGGAGTTGAATTATTCAAATCGGTTCATCTGTGTTCGCAAAATTGTCGACGAAAATTTGTATCCGCACACGCACGCACACACACACATACATCAATTTTCTAAGGTATTCCAAAATGTTCAGAAATTTCTGAAACGTAAAAATATATATAAAATACTTCTTTGTCTACGATATTATATTATATATATTTTTCGATCTTATACTTTTCGATTTTGAGCCTTGTATAAAATTCTATTCCATTTTTTCATAATTAATTGGAAAAAAATAATGCTTGTTTGTTTGTTTTTATAATTTTTGGTAATTTACCTATAAGAGCTATTGGGTCAAAACACCCCCACTTCCCTTTAAAAACCTCACGTGATTAGTGGACTCCCCCTAAATTCGGGACAAATATTGCTTTTAGAAATACCCGAGACACAAGGTATAAATTCGGGACTGTCCCGACCAAATCGTGACGTATGGTTACCTTATTAGTATATCCATTGCAACTTTTGAACTAATCGATTAATGTAAATAGTGTATATGGCCAAATTGTTCAAAATTAAATAATCTACAACATTATGTAACATCATTTATTCCTACAATAACTCTGTATGCCCATAAATCGTGTTAGAAAAAGAGAAATATTTCGGCTTGTCGAGTCGAATCACCAAAACCGGTGCGCGCGAATTATTGTAAAAAAAACATTCGTAACAAAGGAATTCGTTATGTAGCCGTCATGTTTTTGACACGAGTAATTTTTCACGTGTGATACGAGCTTTTACATTTTCACATTAAGGATTTATACAAATTAATTTACGCGTTTAGACCTAGGACACATTCATTATAATGTGCACACGCTAACATTTATGAACTCCATGGTAAACTATTAATAATGCAAGCAAAACGAAAATAACATCCAAAAAAGTAATAATAATACATAAGATGATGCAGAATTATAAATATCAATTTCGATATTAAATATAGTATTATTTTGCGGATTTTTTACAAATTTGTTTAAAGTGGAAACCTTCAAATCACACCCATGTTGATGACGATGCATTCGAGTTCAAAACAATAATCAAGATATGGAACTTACCTCTGGTCTGCCCAAAAATGCCACACTTTTATTTTCAGTTTCTTGATGAAAAACAGCAATTCAATATTTAATTTGTGTCTTTTAACGATTTCAAGTAAAACTTGTTCCAAAGTCAAATTTAACCACTTTAATACGGTAATATAAAAACGCCATTTACAATATTTTCAAATTTAGCATCTGAACACAATGATCACTTTCACAAAATTCAGTTAAAAATAAAATTTAATTTTAATAAGGAAAAAAAATATTTAAGCCCTAAACTAATTTACTCACGTATTACTTCTACATACAGCTGTGTAATATATATTTAATATTAATATTAAACACAAAAATTTTGATACTAGTATTTACTACTATTTATCTACTGTTCAATTCGGCGTCGGAAGAACAACTGATTCGCATTCGATTGCAAGTTTTCGGATAAACAATTTTAATGCATTGTTAGAGAATTGCATAACAACATTTTTAGAAGTAAACACAACTGAATAAGAATAGAAGCAACTAACATCTGACAAAAACACGCATTCGAAATTATTATACAAATTTGTAACGTAAGTCGGAGCGATGATCGTCTATTGACAGGAATTAAAACAAGACTAACATGTAGCCAATTTGTCGAAAATAAAAAATAATAAATATTAATAAATAATTTAAATATATAGATAAATAAATATATTTTATATTTTTTTCACAATTTTGTCTTATAAAACTGATAAAGATACCATCGTACCCGGAAGTCCATTAATCATTGGATTGGCATTCTATTTAGACATTGTAAGTACTGCCAAAATTTGCTGACTTTTTATATGGAATAATTGCAGATATTTAAAAAAACTATTAAATGTTTGATTTGTAAAAGTTTAAAAAAAATTCAGGTAGTTCTGGTATATTAAAAATATTTGAAGTTGTATCTATCATTAAGAATTTATCCAAAATAGATTAGAATTACCATTGGGGTTCCCTTTAATTAAAAATGTGACAAAAATAGAATAGGATAGGTACTAGATCTTATAATAATAAAAATATTTCAAAAATAAATTAGAATCATTATTAGAATAAAATAAATAAAATATTTAAAACCTAATAAAAATGCTTCAAAAATATAATAGGGCAACCATTGAGTCACCTTTAAATAAAAATATGACAAAAATAAGAAGGACAACTATTATGTATTATATTAATTTCAAAAATAAATTAGAATCATCATAGGGTTACCTTCTAATGAAAATGTTTCAAAAATAGAATAGGACAACCATTGGGTCACTTTTAAATGAAAATATGACAAAAATAGAAACGACACCCATTAGGTCTTATAATAACAAAAATATTTCAAAAATAAATTAGTATCATTATTGGGTTACTTTCTAATAAAAATGTTTCAAAAATAGGATAGAACAGCCATTAGGTTGTATTTTATGAAAAAACATATTTAAAAAATAAATTAGAATCACAGTTAGTTACCTCCTGATAAAAATGTTTCGATTGTTTCAAAATAAGGCAACCATAAAGTTGTCTTCTAATAACCACGAGTAAACAATTCATCACAAAAAACAATAAGCATTGCAACAGAATTTAAATTCTGATTAAACAAAAATTAATTAACAACTTATATTTATTATGTTTCGATTGTTCGAATTAAGTGTTTTTTCTTCTTTTTGTGTATAAATATTTTCCAAATGATGACACACATTGGGTGTCGAAACATACAAAATAATTATCTTTTAAGATTATTTTTTATTTTTGACGAATTGGCTGCTAAGATTTTCAATGTATTTCAAAATCGAGCAAAATAATCATACAAAATAGATTACCTGAAGTTGGAGGTCCTTGATCTGTGGTGAACTCCATCTCAAATCAGGAAAGTTTAGGGTTTATTTCAAATGGCACTGCTCCAGGGAGACCCCTTTAATCGGAAACATAATTTTGACCTGTATTTTTAAATAGAAATCACTTTGTTGTATGCAAGATGTTTTTAACCACTTCAACAAACACATTATGTTGTCATACTGCTTGATATCAAGCTGACTGAGATTGGAATTGGTAGTAGTTCACGTTCCTACCACGACGGGCTCGAAGAAGAAAAGTCAACGTGCAATAGTTTCGATAAAAAAATTTGTACTCAGAAGTCCAAACAACTTTTTTATTTAAGCGCAATTTATAGCCATCTGTAAAAGATAATATAATAAAAAGGAATTAAGGATTTACGGTTGGCAAAAGGATCTCAGCAAAATAAATAATATGGTAATGAAATTCCTTCTTTCGTTAAAATTTCTTCATAATTAGTTTTATTTATAATAAAAACATTTCGTAAAATTTAACATTTACGAGTTGAAATATTCTCTTAAAAAATATTGTCATCTCCTACACCGTAATGATATAATAGAAATAAAATTTGTTATAATTATCATAAATATGATTAAAATAATAATACTTAAAATTATTCAAAATTATTCTAGATCATTTTTAACTTGTGAATTTGTTTTGTGTTGTGTCTGGGTCATATAATATATATCATATATCGCCTAATCATTTCTGTCCTCGGAGTCACATTTGGATCGGCAAGCATTGTTAAAATTTCCAAATCGAATGTTAAGAGATCTTTAAAAATGCCGCTCCAACTGGAGTCACAAATACTAAAGTTTCTTCAGCGTCTCTTGGTCTGTTTTGGACTTAGAGACGTCCGTCACAACATCCAATCCGCCCATCCTGGTGACCAGGTCAGCCAGCAGGGAATTTTCAGGAGAAAATTCGTCTGGTGAGTTTTGCTGCCGTCTCGGGGTGGTAAAAATCGTGTGTTCCTCCGTCTTCCTCCCATCCATTACCACTTGTCCATTACCGATGAGAGTCGGGTTGACGGCCTCAGGAACTGGATGACTCTGGTGAATGGCACCAGTATCTGCTTCGAATTCTGATCGATCGTACTCTAACGACGAAACACGTTGCTCCGGCGTCGAGTTATCCACCTGGAGGGACATGAAACAAAAACGTTTATGTTGATTCTGTATTATATTTCGTTTAATGCGTCTCCCAGCACGTGTGATATGCGATATGGTATGGATTTATGCGGGTGAGAAAAATGCGCAGACACGACCCTTTCAACCTGTGACGTTGCCGATAAGCAAAGGTGCGAGGTAATAGATAAAGGCGACGATTTAATTAAATTTTTATTAGTCATGGTTGATTTTTGTAATATAGAAATGAATCATATATAGGAAATGTATGGGGATTAGATGGAGGTTTGCTATAATAGCGCCTTCACATTGATACTGAAAACATAAATTTATTACATACAGATTATACTAATTCTACATGTTGCATTCTAAATATTTATTACACCAAGGTTTTATTAAGTAGAGTAAAATGAATTTATTGAGTATAGCTGTATTCGTATTAGTGTAATTATATGAAACAGTACAGTGAAATGAATTAAATCCTGGATTTCTTCCTTGCGTATCGGATTCTTCTATAGGTAATATTTTTCCCAGATACAGATTTTTTGTCCCGAATTTTTAACTTTGCGTAAGGTAAGTTATAGTAATCGCAAAAAAGTCGGAAGTGAAATTTTTTATTTATCTTTACGTTTCAGAAGTTTCTGAACATTTTGGCATACCTTAGAAAAAATTGATGTATGTGTGTGTGTGCGGATACAAATTTTCGTCGACGATTTCAGGAACACTGATCAACCGATTTGAATGATTCAAACGTGCTGATTAGTTTTTGGCAAAGGCAGGTTCAGCCGTTTCGAAGATACAGGGCAAAAAAACAAAAATGGTGATTCGGTTTTTGGGAGAACGGAGCGTCCGATTTGAATAATTCAAAAAACAATGTATTTGTATTGAAAAAATAAAGTACCGTTCGAATTTTTGGATAGGCAGGTCTAGCGGTTTCAGTGTTCGAGTAAAAAATTCTCAGACATCTCTTTTTTTTTTCAAAGTTTTCAAAATAATTTAAAGATTTTTTAAAGACACCACTAATTTTTAATGCGACGATAACGGCATAAATAGTTTCATTAAAAATCGCCAAAAACATAATTTCAACATTAATTACTAAAAAACGGCCTCGAAGATCATCAGCAAAAACTAAAACTAATCAGCACGATTCCCAACTGTTATCTTTCGAATGGTTTTCAAGTTTTAAAAATCGGTTCACAATTTTTGGAATAAATCTGGACAAAAAAAATGCACTTTTTTAGCTAATTGTAAAGACACGACTCGGCAGATCGTCGCGAGAATAATAAATTCGAGTTGTGATCGAAATTGATCAAATAGCTTTTAAATTTATAAAATTAAATAAATGCATATCTCATTTTGACCATCTTAGAAAACATGAAAATGCTGCAGTCATATCCATCGCTGAATCTTTTAGGATTACCAGGAGAAGATTAAAGAAAAAACAACCTATTGATTTACTATAAGTAATAAGGGCTCTCATTTGAGAGTTTCCTAAACAAACCACATTGTTTGTACCACAAATTTGTAAACAATAAAAAAATATATATAAAATCAGTGCAGCCGTTTTGATTCACATACATACTCAGACGATTCGGTACGACTAAAATATAAGTTAAAAATATAAGTCATTTCTTTTACCGAATAATCAAACTTTAAGTTGCACATAGAATTTTGTTCAGTAATTTTTGCAATTTTAAACTCAATCTTTAACACTTGGTGTAATAAAATCAGAATGTAACAAATGATAAATTCAAATCGCAGTATGTCAAGTCCAGCGTTCACCACCATGAAACTGATACCAATATGTAGTTTAGCACATATAAACTATGACAATACTAAATTATTCAGATGACAATACTAAATAAGACAGATATTAGAAAGCTGACGTGTTGTGCAGGTGATAATTATCCAATCAGCTCAGGAATGATGAAGTTTGCCTAACAGAAACATAAAAAAACTAACCTCTTCTTGCATTAACCTTTGGGCCATGCTCCTTATAACGGCTTGCGCTTGCATCGCATCCTGAAAACACATGGACATAGAAATAAAATAATAATAAATTAAAAAAAATATATAAAATAAAGTAATTGAGTTTCGGCATACCTGAAATGTACAAATTAAAATATTTAGACATTTGAAAAATAAATCAAATAATTGGTTTCCCTACAATTCATTCTCAACAAAGCAATATCAAACTATTGGTATTGGTATTGGTATGTTGCCTTGAGGCAAGTTACATGAACTTCCCGATTTGTGTAAATAATCGACTTAATCCATGATAGATAAATTAATTTATGAGTAATTAAAAGTATTCGAAGTGGATTTATTAAACATTATTGAAAATCGAACACGTCAACCCGGTTGAGAAGCAAATTTTCAAAAATCAATAATTTTTATAATTGAACCAGATTCCATAGGACTTTAATGGTTTACTATGTTCATTAAGACCAAATACTCTATCGTTATACCAAGTAAATCGTCTAATTTTAATTTCAACAAATATCAAAAGAACTACTCATTTTCATAAGACCATGATATATATCATCAAAAAAAGTTTCATAAAAATCGGCTTAAATTTTTTTTCAACAGTTAATTACAAGAAAACGGCTCGGTAGATTTTTACCTAAAACTAATCAGTATCATTTCCAAGCAATATCTTTCGAACAGTTTTTGATTTTTTAAAATCGATAAGGTAGTATGAGCTGAAATATGGACAAAAAGTTTAACACTTTTTTCCAAGTTTTAAAGGAACGGCTCGGCCGATCGTCGCACAAAACTGAGAAACAATAATCCTAATCGAGATACATCAAATGGCTTTTAAATTTCTGAAATCGGTTGAGGCGTTTTTGAGAAAACGTTGATGAAAGGTCTAATTTTGACAATGCCAAAAAAAACGATACTAATTTTTGGAAACTTTGACGAATTTTTAAAGATAAACGAGTTGTCGTAGGGCATTAATGTTTTAGTATGATCTAGAATACTATGGTATCTACCGTCAAAAAAATAAAAAGAAAGATCGTCGAAATTTCTTCTTTAAAACTTTATTACAAGAAAACGGCCCGGCCGATCTTTACCAAAAACTAATCAGCACGATTCCCAACCAATATCTTTCGAACGGTTTTTGAATTTTCAAAATCGATTAAGAATTGCGGGCTAAAACGTAGGCAATTTTTTTTTCACTTTTTTGCGATTTACAAAGAAACGGCTTGGCCGATCGTCGCACAAAACTTAGAAACGCTAATCTGTTCACATACACACACACATACTTCTTCCAAATTTGGTCTCATTCGATTCAGAATGGCTTGAAACGTCGAGAAAACATAAAATTAGCGAGTCGGATTTTTTTATGAAAACATAAACTTCTCCTTCGGGAAGTTAAAAACGAGGCCACAAGGTGGAGGCCCCCTTAATTTATATCGATCATTCTTAATTTTGGACTTTGTTATACGCTGATGGTACAACAATTGCAAAAGTTTGTACCATATATAAGGGTTTGTACATATCTGAATAATATATAATATTTTCTCAAAATCAAAGATTCCTACATCCAACGACTTCACTCTTCTACTAAACTGAAAAGATGCTGAACAAAGAGTGATTATCAACAATGTCAAAAGATTTTTTTTGAGCTCAACGATCTACTCAACCTATTTTTCCCAGACTGCGCGAATTCACTGATGTTTGATTTAATATAGAATTTTATAAATTTCATCACGTGTTATCCTGTATTTTTCTTCATCCCACTCCTATAAAGACTACGTTCATCAGCTATTGCCGCCCTTCGCCCTTCGCTCTACGCCTCGAACGGGCCGTTCTACGTGTTCTACGAGAAGTTACACCTTCCGAGAAATTTCCAATTTGGAGTTATATTTTGATTCAAACGCCGTTTTCGTTATCTTACCGCTTTCATATTTTGTATGTGACGTCACGTCGGGGCCCTTATCTGCTCATGTCACACGTGTCAAAAGACGAAGACGACGACGACGACGACGACCAGCCTCGAAGAAGGAACAAACTTTATGGGAAGGGCGCTAGGAGCAACATTTGTGTGCTTTGATGGAAACCAGTTGATGAAAATCTCCAATTTAAAAACAAATTTCAAATTTAAAAAAATGCTATTAACAAACTTGGTGTAATTGACGTTTAGCCTTAAGGGGTTATTCTAATAAGGGTGTAGCTGTAGATGCATGAATTTTAGGTCATTTTCAAATAATCGTAAGAAGCAGGCAATCATTTTTTTTTATAATTCATTTATCAATGTTACAAGAGTACAGAAAAAAATAAAACAAAAGAAGTTAATAATTTAAAAAAATAACAGTAGTTAAATTGAGGGGTATTAAAAAGTTGACACGTAACCGTGCCCACGATTGCAACCCTTCTAGTAATCCAAAACGGAAAAAATTATTAATAACTTCCCGTAGGGTAAGTTATTTTAATCGTCCAAAAATTGAAATAAAAATTTTTTGCATATCTTCACGTTTTGAAAGTTTCTAAACATTTTGGCATACCTTTTGTGTGTGCGTGTATGGATGTATGGACACAATTTTTTGTCCACGTTTTCGGGCGCACGGATCCACCGATTTGAATGGTGAAAGGCAAGTCCAGCCGTTTCGGAGATACAGAGCAAATAAGGCAGAAAATAAAATTCGTGTTTTTGAGAGAACTGAGCATCCGATTAGAATGATCCAAAAAATATTCTATTTGTATTAGTATTCTATGCTGACGAGAAGTGGTGATTAGATTTTGGTAAAGGCATGTCTAGCCTTTTTGGAGATACAGAGCTTAATATGCAAAACATTGCAGTTTTTTAGAGAAATAAGCATCCGAATTATTCAAAAGACTTGCTGTTTGTGTTGACGAAACGATTGCTTTTTAGGTAAAAAAATCGTTTTTCTTTTTTTTTTGAAATTTCCAGAAAATATTTATTTTTACTGAGTTCCAGCAATTTGCCTTAAGGCACGATGCCATGCACCACTAGTTATCATTATTAATCTAGAATGATGTCGCAAGGGTATATACTAGGATTAAGTTAAAAAATAGATTTTTGACAAAATGGCAAATTACCATTTTTTTGAGTATCTCGAATTTATTAAAAATAGTATAAATTCAAATTTGGAGATGAAGCTAGTATATATCTGAGAAAGAATCTCCGAAAATTTTAAGTGATTCGGTCCAGTAGAACTCGAGAAATCGTGGGTATCGTATTGAAAAAGAAGAGGATTATCGTGGTCAAACAGATTTATCTCCAAAAATAATTTAATTTTTTAAAAATCCTCTCATACACATATTTTTAAATTTTGAAAAATTGAAAAAAAAGAAAAAACGATTTTTTTGAATTCTACACTAAAATACCCCCCTTAAAGCAAGTTGCATGAACTTTCCGATACGTGTAAACAATTGGCTTGAATCAATAAAAATCAGGATTAGACATTTTGATAAAATAAAATTATTTATTGCTAAAATAAACTAAAATTTTAAAGAACGAACGATCAAACAAATAATTCGATAGTTGTATGTTTGATACATGGTTTTCACAGAATAATTACAAAGTCAAATTGGACTTTTGTGCCCCGTCCTACCCTACACTAACAACATAAAATTTTATAAATATGTTTTTTCTTTCAACGATTTTCTCCTATCGAATAGGAAAATTTTAAGAAATATTTTGTGCAGGTTTTAGCATTTTCTGTGTATCATATTTCCTATAAACCGCGTTTGGTAAAGATTTTAATATGTGTTTGTCAAAAAATATTTATTCCTTGAAAAGATTGGATCCCGGTGTAAGCGCGGCCAGGACACCGGGATCAAGAGCTTTAGAACTTTTGTAAAGGATTGAGACGTATATTCAAAGCCGATTTCAAACGGCTCTCAATGCAATACTTGGCCGTGTTGTGTTATTTTTAGATTTTAGATTTTAGATTTTAGACGATTGATGTGTGCAAGTTCGTATATATCAACTTCAAGTTTGTTTATCTACCGCCCGTGATATATATTTGATATTAATATGATAGCATATTAAATGTTAATAATGCTCTCGAAGAATAAATGTTTGTGTAGAACACTTGTGAGCTTGCGGAGAACATATGCTTTCAGAGAAATCAAAACTAATGTAAACACATGTCATTTTACGTGTAGTATGTCTGTATTATATCGTATACTTCTCAAAACTATAGTGTGATAATAAGAAATAACTAGTTGTAAGTAGTATTTTGCCTTAAGGCAAGTTGCATTAACTTTCGGATACGCAGAATCAACTTAATCAATAAGAATTGAGATTCAGATATTTAAGTAAAATGTTCAACTGTTTAAATTAAATTAATTTGTTTTACATATTTTATTTCATCCATTTTGAGTTGTAAAAATGTATTTTATTAAAGTGTGGACGTTAACGGTAATCAGTAGCTATCTACAAAACACGGAACGTATATACTTTGGTATAGATTATTATTTAAATCGCTTAAGCTCAAGGCGAAATTCTAAACTTCAATATTTTTTATAATCCAACTGTCTATCGTAGGCCTATAATATTTCAGTATGCTATTTCAGACTAAATCTATCGTTATACGAAGTTTCATCAGAATCAGGAAAAAAAAAATTTCAACATTTAATTACGAAAAAACGGCCACGAATTCTAACCAATATATTTCAAACAGTTTGTGAAATTTTAAAATTGAATCAAAACTATGAGCTAAAACGTGGGCAAAAAAAATTATATTCTTCTGCTAAATACAAAAAACTGCTCGGCCGATCACCGCATATAACTGATAACTTATCGATTAAGTTTTAAATTATTGAAATCAGTCCAGCCGTTTTTAAAAAAAACATCGAGAAAAGGTCAACTATCGTCTCCCATACACACATAGTTTTCCAACTTATATTTTATTAACTTCCCGTAGGGCAAGTTATAGTAATTGCAAAAAAATCGAAAATGAAAATTTTTGCATTTCTCGACGTTTCAAAGGTTTCTGAATAATTTGGCATACCTTAGAAAAAATGGATGTATGTGTGTGTGCGTGTGCGTGTGTGTGTGTGTGTGTATGTGCCTGTGTGTATGTATGTGCGGATACAAATTTTCATCGACGATTTCGGAAGCACCGATCAACCGATTTGAATAATTCAAAAAACATTCGATTCGTATTGATAAGGAGACGTGCTGATTAGTTTTTGGCGAAGGCAGGTCTAGCCGTTCCGAAGATACGGGGCAAAAAGTGCCGAAAACGGTAACTAAGTTTTTAAGAGAACGGAGCGTCCGATTTGAATAATTCAAAAAACATTTTACTTGTATTGACAAGATAAAAAATTTATCAAATTTTCATGAAGGCAGGTCTGGCGGTTTCGGAGATCTAACGAAAAAAGTAAAAAAATGCCATTTGGAGGTCAAAAATAATCATTAGACATATGCACATCAAATTATCAGATATTTAATAGAGATTTTAACAATAAGTATAAATTTTGTTTGCATTCCTATGGGTTCCGTACCAATGTTTATCCGTTAGACAGCGACGCGGCGCTTACGCGCTTTATATTTTGTCTCTATGCAGTTAAAGCAGTACGATTGCTTTGAAATAAAGTTCAGATCTTCCAAAATATGTCAAAATAAAGAAAACAATTTTTTTAAATGAAAAATAATAAAAAAAAAAATTGAAAATCTTTTTTTTTTTAAAAAAGTAATTTTTTGTCCAATTTATAGTTTTTCAAAAATCTTATTTTTTCGAAGTAAAATTTTTTCAAAAATGTTAATCGTTTTTAAAAAAAATAATGATTTTTGGTACGGGAAGTTCCAGCAATTTGCCTTAAGGCACGATGCCTTAAGACAGATTTCCTCTTACAGCTAGTTTAAGTCAATATTTTAGAAATTATAACATAATATTTTCTGACAGTAATTATAAGAAATATTGGGATTTGTTTAATTCAAAATGAATGTATTATTATTATTTCTATTAATTTACCTGTTCGAGTGACTTGAGTCGTGCCTGCCTCCAAGCGGCTCGTTTTTTGGCCTTCAGTGCTCGCAGTTCGGCCGGCGACAGGTCCGCGGTCTCCTGATCCGCCGAATCGCCCGCGCCGTTGCTGTTCCCGTTGCGGGCCCTATGCCGCTTCTCGGCGTTTGCAGTTCGGATTACGGCCGGGGCTTTTATATCACTGAAATAGTAAACACAATAAAATGATTTGCAAAAACATATTTGTATGTCGACGCTTTATTTTTAATACGTACCCCACTGAGCCATGATCATCCTCATCCGAATATTCTGAAGAACTATCAGAATCCATTATAACCGCAGCAATTTTGTGTTCTTCTTCCTGTTTTAACTTTTCTATTTCATCTTCGCTTAAAAAGCTAAATACTTTTTCTGTAAAAAAATAATCACACAACGATTAATAATTAGAAGTCTAAAAAATATTGAGTTTAACCCTTTCCACTCGCACATTGCGTATTTTATACGTGTTTTGCCGCCGGTGTGGCGACATCCGAGTCGAAAGGGTTAATAAAGATGAGAATAAACTTGCCTGGTTTAGGGGATGGTTTATGCGTTTCTTCGATCGCATTTTCGAAAAACTTCTTTTTGTCGCTCACAGAAAATTTCTAAAAAAAAAAAAATAAAAAAAAAATGTAAAACATTTTTCTGGCTGTGTTACAGCATAAATCCATAAAAATCATAGTAAAGAATAACTAAATACACCAAAAACTAAATAAATTAATAAATAGCAATTAAACTAAAAAATAATGCAAATACAGAAACCAAAATCATGCTTGTATTTATAACTAAAATAAGCCACATACACGTATGCAAAATCTTTGTGATAAAATTTGAAACAAAAAGTCTGTAAAGAATGAACAGAATATAATATAAAAATAATGTAGGATAGGCGGTGGGTCACAAAGGTCCAATTTGTTTTTGAGTAATTATACTGTCTGACAATTGAACAGCATGACAATACATAACATGGATCAAACAAACAACTATCGAACAATGTTAGTAAAATTCCAATTAATTCCTAATTATAGAAAAAAAATTACCAATTTTCCTAAAATTTGTCACCTGATATAATATTTAGTAAAATTCCCAATTAATTCCAAACAATAAAAATATATTTTTTAGCTAATTTCCTAAAATTTGTCACCTGTCTCTTTTTACCCTATAAGCGGTGTAAACAGATACAACGCCTATTTTTAATAGAATTTTACGAAATATTAGCTACATTATTTAACCAATGTGAAATACAAATTTTATAGGACATTTTTTTATGAAGATTTCATTGCACATAACCTGGACCTTGTATTTCAAAAGGATTATAGTATTTTTTTTATATTTATATAGTAATAAACAGAGGTCGAATAACAGTTATTTAATTTAATTTAAAAAAAAAATTAACCTTATGTATAACCTTGATCTTTTATTTCGAAAGAAATGTTAATATACAAAGGTCGAATAACAATGTTATTTCTTTTAATTTAAAAAAATGTGAGTTTTAAACGTAATATACTTATTTATTTACTATTTTCTTGTTTACTGTTTATTATTGTTTTGGTATAAATATTGATACATTTCCATTTATCTCTAATTAAGGTAATGTCCGGTTACACATTCTCTTACCTTCTACTTTAAAATAGTATCACAAAAAAAATTATATATTTTGCTTATTTTTGAGATAAGTATGGTGGCCCTATTAAGTCCCGCTCTACCCTTTCTCAAAATTAATTATAAAAATCTCAATGTAAAACATTGAATAGTATAAGATATAAAATTTTCCAGAACAAAAACAATAGATGATGGAACAATGTCCCTTCGTTATATAATCTTTTTCCTCAAAATCTCCATATAAAAATATTATCAAATTAGCTTTTATATGAGAAGAGAATATTAATGAAAGCAAGCTTCTGGAATCTGAAAATTACGCATGTCACTTGCATGTTTGTACGACGAAGATAATTATGAAGTTGAGATATGCTCCCGGAATTTCTAATATAACAAGCATATTTTCTTTTCTATACAACTAACTTTCAGTAATTAATATATAAATCGTAGAACGTGTACGACAGGAGCAATGGAATTAATAAGATATCAAATTTATTTTATTTATTTTTAAATTTAAATATACGTAGCTGTAAAATACGTAATCCAAAGTCCAATTACAAAGATACACACTATTAAATTAGTTATTGATTTCGAACACGTACAATACTGTGGCTACGGCATGTTAAAGTTTTAAACAATATGAAGAGCTGCCAGTTGGAAACATTTTTGATGCCTCCAATTACCTTGGATGATTGACCGGTGAAATTCAGAAGAAGAGTATAATTCAGAGTCAAGAAATTGAGGAGGAAAATATTAATTTTCACCCGATTAATTGAGACATGCGCAATTGTTGGACGTCCAAAGTTTTTGGTAAATCTTAAATAAATAAATTTGTCAAAATTCTGAACACCAGCAACAATTTTTTGAAATACTGCATCGAAAAATGGGCATTTTGATTTTTAAATAACAGTAAAGTGCATAATTTATATTAGTCAATTATTTTTCAACTAGGTGTAAGTGGCATCTTGCCTTAATTCAAGTTGCTTGAATTCCTCAATATGCGTGAATAATCAATTAATCAATAATAATGATAAATATTATTATCACCCGATTTGAATGATCCAAAACAAAAACATTCAATTCGTAATGATGGGAAAAAGTGATTATGTATTTTTGGCAAAGGCAGGTCCAGTCGTTTTGGAGCAGTTTTTGAGAAAACTTAGCACCCGATTTGAATGATTCCGAAAACTATATGCTTGTGTTGACGAAGCGATTGCTTTTGTGATTTTTTTTTAAATTATTTTTAATTTCCAAATTTTTTTTGAATTTCGAAAATCATTCGGATTTTAATTTTAACTCCAGTAAAAGTTCTAGAGCTCACTTATATACTTCAAATAATTAATTTTAACTTTGCTATAGTTTATATAATTCTTATAAATATTAGAAAATGTCCTTAATTTTAAATTCGATTGATTAAATTTTGTTTATTTACTTTTGTGTAAAGATATATAAGTTATAGTATTTATAATAATCTATTTGAAAACATTTAATATTCCTCGAATGTTTCATTACAGTACGGAAAGTTCCAGCAATTTGCCTTAAGGTACGATGCCATACACGACTAGTTTTATTTAAGTGTGGACGTCAACGGTGATCAGTACAAATCCAGAATATACACGGTCTATGTACTAGGGACGCCTGTTGTTCATTAATCCAAAAGTTATTGAATTTTTATAATTAAACCAATTATAGTAGAACTATAATATTTTATATGTTAGTTCAAACTATAAAGGTTACCGTTATACAAAGTTTCATCAAAATAGTAAAAAAAAAAACTAAGAAATGGCCCTGCCGATTACTACCACTGATCAGCACGATTCCCAATCGGATGTCTTTTGAATTCGAAAATCGGTTCAGATTTTTTTACGAAAACGTGGATGAAAAATGTAGCACTTTATGCTAATTCTAAAGAAATGGCATCGAGTTCGAGTTTCGTCGAATGGCTTGTAAATTTTTGAAATCGGTTCAGCCGTTAAAAAAAAAAACTTCGGCCAAAAGTCTAAATATTGTCTTACATACATATATACACACAGAAGAAGAGCGAATGAGAATAATTAGGACGAAAGTTTATTTAAAGTGGGCATTAAAGATTTCTAGAGCCTCCCCCCATGAAGTAATGCCTAACGGCGGTTTCTGTGGTGACTAAAAGCGAGGTAAAAGCGTAAGTTTTAGTTAGTACTATTTATAATGCCCAAGATACCCAGACAAATACCTAGTCTGGCATGCGTAAATGCATTTTCTTCGCCATAAAAAAGCACACACACACTTTTACCAAGTTTGGTGTCAAACGACTTAGAATGTCTTGAAAACACGAGCAAACATAAAATTAACAAGTCGTATTTTCTAAACGACAAAACGTTTTATACGAATATAAATTGATTCTGCGAACGATATTCCACGGAATCCAAACGATAGTTCATAAATTAGGCAAACCGAACACTAATTTATTTTACTTCCAATTAAAAATAAGAATTTATTTCGAGATTCACATTCACACATTCAACATTGGATTAAAAAAAAACTTCGACCTGTGTAAAATATCAAACAAGCAATTACAAAATTTAAATTAAAGATATATTATTTTTCTTAAAAATCAGTACATCGCCAGTATTTGATAAAAAGTTTTGCTCTAAAAATAAAGTACATAAATTACAAGAGACACAATTTTTATATATGAGAACTGCGTAGACTATCCCTAGTGCTTTGACTCAGAATTAATATTGAGGAAAGTATTTTATATAACATTATTTTCAAAAAACAAAAAGTTTCTAACAATATTAGTTAAATACTTTTGAAATATGGTACATATTGAATCAGTAATTATCAGCAAGCTAAAAGTATGTAATTTAAAAAAAAAGCATAGTTTTCACAAACTGTATTACCATTCCAAACAGTTTTGATATAGATTCGGAATAGTGTAATACATTATATATATAAAATATTGCCTATTATTTATTTTATTTAAAATTATCAGTTCTTGAATGTCATTACATCTAGGACAATCCTATATTCAATTTATTATTCACAGAGTAGGACGAATTGAAAAGGTATTCTATTGTATGAAACATAAACTATAAAGTTTTATTCGTAATAACAACTATACACGCAAACATACACACCTACAAATATGAATTAGAATATATAAATATTCTATATATTCCGAAACATATTTATACACACATGTATATATATATATATATATATATATATATATATATCTTTTGCTTAAAACCAACTGAAACCCTTGTTTAAAAAATATGAAAACAATACTTGTTTCCGAATCGGTCAAATTGAAAAATTTCACCTACTTACCTGTTTAAATATATAATTTTTACCATATTTACACCTCAGAATAGTCAAATAAATTGGATTTATCTTCATATATATTTTTTAAACAAGGATATCATCATGAATTTTCAAAGAAGAAAAATATGGAATACAACTAAGCACCCAGAGATAGATTTAATATATGCAAAAACATTACATAACAACGTATACAAAGAACGTGATAAAAATGTATACATATACAGAACCTGGAATAAACATCTCTATCATTTTCGACAATTTTCAACAATTACATAAACTTTGTACAAGTATTTCTCAATAACCATGTAAGATATAATACATAGAAATTTAAATATGAATACTAAAAGTGATTAAACATATATATACAATGGTATCCTGTCATACGAGTTTGATTTGTTTCTTAACTATGCTCATATGTCGATATAATAGCTGGTATCTCAAAGCTATTTTTCCCATATAATTACATTAAAATGCTATTAAAGTGTTGGTAAGTTTTTTGAATATTAAAAATAAGTTTACTATTTATAATTATTGTGTTATCCTATTTATTCATGATATTGAGAAAATGAGTTAGACATGTTTTGTTGTACAACTTTTTGGAGGATGAAAGCTGCTTATAAATTATTGTAGTCATACCCTTTATCAACTCCTTCTGCTTGAACAGATATCTATGACTAAACTCGTACATCCTCATATTTTTCTATAATTTCATGTTTTAATCCAAGAGACAAAAATTTGAACTCAACATATATAACTGTACAATCACTAAAATTAAAATCTCAAATGTTAAAATAATCCTCGATATATTCAGGTGGGTGAATTGTTACTACACAATTAATACTAATATATAATTGAAATGACTAACTATAAAATAATGTACTATCATAAAACAACCAAAATATTTCTATGATAGGAAAATCATTGTTATACTGGCAAAATTTTTCATATTTTCATTTTGCCATTAACATTTTTCTACCAAACTCTTGATCGCTCAAATCTCGCAACAAATCTTTGGCGGCTCATATCTCGAAACATTCGTATGTCAAATCATTCGTAAGTCTCAGTACCACTGTATATATATTCTTAATCACAGTGATTAAAATAGAAATTTGATTTATACTTGCATACCCAAATCATGAGACAAATGCCTCACGATAATGTTAGTGCTAAATGTACAATAAAATATTGATAAGTCTTTCCTCAACATTTTTTTATGATTATATAGATACAAAGTTATATGCAAATATATATATATATATATATATATATATATATATATATATATATATATATATATATATATGTATATGTGTATAGATATATTATGCGGAGTTGATCCCTTTATTTTTAAATACTTTGTACAATACCAATTTTAAATCTTATTTAAAATTGAAGCTTAAATTGAAGGTAAAAAACTCTTTCATATAACATTAATAATTGGCAGTAATATAATGTTCTTGTTTTTTCAATATACAATTATAATACACATAACTATGAAATAATCAAATTATCCCCATCCTAAACTAACCAATAAATTTTACCAGATCATGCTCTTTTATATAAATGCAAAGTAGAAAAACTTGCTTAATCAAGTAGAATGCTTCAAATAAGTCAAGATTAAGATTTCTTTAATTTATCCATCCATACTGTTAGATTATAATTCATGTTAGTATAAAATGCTCGGTGCAACTTTCAGAGAAAAACCACAAGATTGTAAGGTGATAAATGGAACATGCAAAGAGACACCCGTTCTAACAACTTTCGCACAATTGAGCAAAAACAGTTCTAATATTACTATAAATAAATTGGCAGACTTGCTTGGATTTGTAGAATTGTAACAATAATATATAAATAATATAATTCTGATATCTTCATGGCACAAAACCATATAAATAATAAATTGTTTATCTACAAATCCAAGTAAAATAACATTATTTGAATAGGATTAATATTAGAGTTAGAAAATTAATTTCAAACTAAAAGCTGCGTAATGAAGAAATGTATAAACTTTTACACTATATTGTAGAACATTAGTAAAGAATGTGCATGTAATAGAGATGTTGTATGTTAATGAAGTTCCTTGTAAGATGATTTTTCTTTCTGAAAATAAAATGTAACATTTATAAATCAATAGATCTTATGCTTAATTTCATAATTTTGACTTTAATTTCTTAAGCTTGTGCAAAAATAAATTGAAATCATCACACACAACATGAAATTAATAATACTAAATAAACCACCAACAAACATAATATAATATAAAACTCACAATACAAAAAGCAATAGCAAATCATGTTGCAACAAAATAATAACTGCAAAATAAAACAATTAAGCGTGCAGAAAAGTACTAGTACAAAATACCATTTATATAATAAAAATAATAAATAAAAATTTGATACAATTAGCATAAATGATAAACATAATTTTAAAATAAACAAAATAAAGTATGGTAAGTTCACTCAAAACAAATTAAATTAATAAATTTGAAAACTATAAAACATTCAAGGTAATATATATAATTTAGATAAAATTATCACACAAGTGTAGAATTTTTGAACTTTTATTTTTTTGACAAAAGTATCAAAAACATTAAACATTTGTTTAAAATTCTCTTATAGTCTTACCTGCGTTTGAGGTTGCTCTAACGTGTGTTTCGACATCATTACAGTAGTTTTTTTATGTAAACTATCCTTGCCATCATCCTTTGGACTTTTTGGTGAAATTGGAACTAAATCAGGCACTAAATTCTCTGCTGCTCTTACAATTTCTAATACCTAGAATATATAAAATATAATATAATTCAAGTCAATAATAAATATTTGTTTATATTACCTTTTCTGGTGTGGATTTAGTCCTATTTTCTAACAATTCAACTTGCTGCATATTTTCATGGCCTTCAAGTGTTATATGACTAACAGCCTTATTATCATTATGTACATCATTATAAATATTATTACTGATATGGTCTATAACTGGCTTGTCGTAATTCATCATTTCTTTATTGATTAAGTTTTCCTGTAAATGATACCAATATTAATGTAGTATGTAAGTATTATTATTAGTAATATTATTTATTACCCTTTCAATTGTCCTTTCTTCTTTGTCCAAACTACTAACACTAGGGCTAACCGATGCAGTAATTTGATCCCCTTTTGGTTTGTTATAACCTGAGCAAACCTGAGATAAAATTAACATCAGCAACGGTTTCAGTAAAATAGCTCATGGGTATATCAAAATTAGTTAGTTACCACAATATCTAGTTCGTCCCCGCAAGATCTCAAAGCATTGACTGCTTCCTGATGAGTTACTCCTAATAATGAAATGCCATTTACTTTCAGCAGCCTCATTCCCACCTAAAAACAAATTTATTAAAAACAAACTAGAAATTAATAATTGCATGAATAAGAGTGTCATTATTATTTGAACCTTTAATCGACCGTCTCTCCTTATAGCTCCTTGAGAACTGATTTTGGAAATAAAAATACCTTCATCGGATGGATCTAAAGGATTGCCTTTCAAACCATTTAAACCTCCTTTTATGTGCATACCCAATCTTTCTCCTGGACTTTTTATAATACGAATTTCCTGAACAAATAATAAAATAAATGATTAATAAGCAATAAAACGCTGAATAATAAATTATGTGCATCAAATCTAGTGCTCTAAACGATTATGGAAACATTTTTCAATACTTGTATGTTGCTAGAAACTATTTAAAAACTAAATCGTTAGATGGTTTAATGTTCCAGCTAAACTTCATACCTATATATATATATACATACTACTATTAGATTAAATATTATACAAAATATTTTATGAAATTATATAAATGATGTATGTTTTTATTACAATGTACAACCTGCATTATAGTTTTACATGGTAAAATCCAACAAAAGTATTTATAATAAAATTCGAGCAATTATTTATAAGTCTAAAGCACAACTTGTGTTACTTACAATTGTTGGCAAGTGTTCTACAAGCTGCATGCAATGAAAAAAGTAACTATATAAAATTGCAAAAGCATTTTAAAAAGCAACATCACAATACAAATTGCATTTGAAGTAATCTCTCTTATTTTTGGCAATGATTTAATTATATAAGCATATTTATAATGAGCAGTCTTTTGCTATATACATTGTTAATATAATAATTTGAAACTAATTTTTTATTAGTTTTTTCTTTTACATGATATGCAAAATGTGTATTTAAAGCAAAGATTCTATGAATCTTCAATATCATATTTATTTATAGTCATCTACTTTAATTTTGTTGCTATTTTAATCTAAAACTATACTATATTACAGAATTTCTTCTTAATCATCATTTTTACAATTGCCCATAACCTTACCTCAAATCCTGCAGGTAGCGGATCGTGTTGAACTGATAACGTCATTTCTTCCCCTGGTTGTAAAAGAAGCATAACAGCTTCATGATGTGATGCTCCAACAAGTGATGTACCATTTACACTTAACAAACGATCACCTAATCTTAATTTACCAGATTGATGAGCTATGCCACCAGGAACAACCTAGAAAAAGTTGTCAAGGTAAATCAAATATAACACTATGTTTCTTACAAGTTACGTACGTGTGAAATAAATATTCCTGGTTCATTTATGCCGAATGGAACTGAGGAATGATCAGTGCCTCCAATAATACTGAAGCCTAATGAACCCTTAGTCTTATTCAGAACCACGTCCTAGAAAATTTGAAAATGATGCATTATAAAAGACATAAAAAACAAAGAGTTCAGAAAAACCATAAGAAAGAAATACAAATATAGATTTACAACCTGTATAATTTTATAATTATCAGTCACATATGTATTGAAATGCTTTTAGTACCATTTCACCTAAAATATTAGTTCAAATAAATTAAAACTATTGTTAGATACAAAACTAATATACGGACAAATTTACACATAAGGTTAGTCATGACTGATTAATTATTTTCTGTATAGAAATGAAATAAGGAACATTATGTAAACCGAAGGTAAAGAGAAGTGTTCAGTATACAAAAAGAAGCACTCACAATCCAATTTCTCCATCAATGGATTTGGTTTGTTTACGAATGTATCATCGTGTATCATTCCTGAATATTAGTAAAAGATATGAAAATAAAAAATGTCTTTAAAATCGCACCTCAATAATAACTTGCTCGCGTAATTTATTGTCAGTGACCCGAGTAACAGTAGTCTCAGTGAATGTTGCCTTGGTTATTGTTTCAGTCACTTTGCCGATGGCAATCGTTGTAGGAGGTAACAAATCAATCACGCCATTCCCGACTGGCGGAGGCTGTTTTATTGTTACAGTCACCTGATCAATCGAAATAATGTATAACAGATATTGTTTGAGATTAGTAATCAAAATAATAATATAAACTTAAACTATTGAGAAAAAAAAAACGAATAAAGCTCAGAATTTTGCTCAAATCTGAATCGCATCCAGTCTATCTCAAAATATTAAATGTGATTTTCTCTTTTATTATTTGTGTAGTTTAGTATATTTCCATGGTTATTACACATTATATACAGGGTGTCCCAGAACTCAACGTCAAGCCGAAACAGGGCAACAGTTTGATTGTAACCATCATAAAAGTTTAAAAGTTATAATTTCTAAGTTTTGAAAGTTTTAATTGACCTTCCTAGAACCACAGTCAAGAATAATAATAAAATCTCCCCAAGTTGTCAAGAATTAAGACTATTTGTTAAACTATGAACTTAAAATTTTCTAAACTGATTGACTTTGAAATTGATGGATTACACACAGAGAAATCTTGTTTGAGATTTCGAATCCAAAGCTTAAATGATCAAAATTAATAATAACCAAAAATGAATAATGTTCGACCAAAGCCCTAAGTTGTATGGGATAAATTTTGTTTCCAGTTATTCTCTTGATAGTTACAATCAATGCTGTCACCCCATTTTGGTTTGACGTTGAGTTCTAAAATACCCTGTATTTTAGTTTCCATTACTTAATATAATTTAGTCTCTCAGTATCTAATGTTAGTTTTTGTTACTTTTTATTTCAGTGGTTTATGAATTAAAATGACAGTATGTAAACACACACATGCTTTGTATTAAAAATGATATAACAATTTGTCCTAAATTAGTCAACAATAATATCACTATAAATACACCTTAAAGACGACATGGATGAACAAAAATAATCGAAATGATATTAATCTCTAAAAAAAATAAAAACAGAATGCATATTCAATTATGGTATAAAAATGTAAAACATTGGCAATTGAAATAATGATTAGATACCTTAATTTCAAATATTCTCTTTTCAAAACAGATATGAAATTTAAAAAGTATATTATTGGTTGTGTTTTTACTTTTTTCTGTACAAATACAAATTATTGATTAGTAGGATTACCCCAATTTATGATTTGGTTAAAAGTTATAGACAATTTACATTGAAAATAATAAGTGTGAACAGACTGGTATTGCAATTATTATAAAATTTGAATTATTTATTCACCATATTATATTCCTTTATAAAAAATATTAAAACTATTCTAAATTATTCACATGGACATTTTATTTATTATTTAAATTAAAATAACAAAATATTTCAAAGTAAAGTTACCTGTGCTTCAGGTGTTGCCATAATTGCTGGGTTAGGTTGATTGCTTAAGAAATGCGGTGGAATCATAGCTTGGAATTCTTCATTTGTAATTGGACGAGGTATCTACAAACCACATGTTAAAAAACAATCAATTAATTTATATCAATCGCGTAAGACTGCAACTATCAAAACCATACATACATGTATATCATCTCCCTCATGATTTTCAGGCTTTGTCGTACTAGGTTGCTCTTGGTGTGATTGTGTGTTTTCTGATGATTCATTTTTATGCTGGGGTTTAGTGATAGGAATGTTCGTGATGACCTCCTTCATAGACCTGGGTGCTGGCTGTGGAGGCTGAAGAGCCACTCCTAACAAAATTCTTTATTTTTATTCTTAAATCATAATTCGTCTCACTTATCTTAAGCAATCAGATATTACCTGCAGGTGGTTGAACAATTCCAGGAGACAGTGTTGGCTTAGCCGTTTCCTGATCTGTTATATTACGTCTGTATGTAAAACCTAATAATAATAAAAATTATTATTGTTGTAATTATAGAGTTTATGCAATTCGATGAAGTATTTATTGATTATTATTACCTGGACGGTTTGCTATATAACTATTAGGGCTGTATACATTTCCTTTAAGAATATTTGGACTTGGACTACCAGTGACGGAATCTATTGGAACTTGTCTCTCAACAACAATCCTAACAAAACGTTCCAAACCAGTTAAAAGCCCAACAGCTTGATCATGTCTGCCAGCAGTCATGTCAACACCATTAATCTGGATTTAAATTAATTATTAGTTGCAAAGTTTGTAATACATTTTTTTTTTGTTTTTATACTCACAGAGATAACTTTATCTCCCAGTTGTAATTTTCCATCTTTGTGAGCCACTCCGCCTTCTGCAATTCTTGATATATAAACACCATCTGCATTTTCTTTGTAAGAAGGAGATTCTCTGCCACCAGCTATACTAAATCCTAGACCACAGCCAGGATCTCTTATGAGTGTTGTATGAAGTGTTATTTTCTGCATAAGTGGTTCCTGAAAATATAAATATCACTTATGAAACAAATAGTATACAAGTAACTAGATAATTATTTTTTTTACGTACTGAATTGTCTGGTACTAATGTTATGGGTTCTGGTTTCATCATCATTGTGGAAGACTTTTCACTTACAACTATATCACTTCTATTACATACAGAACTATTTTGTGAAACGGAACTATTTTGCCTAGAATGTGTTTTGCTTGTTGTTCCAGAATGAATCTGTAAATCAATATTATTGTTAGAACTGTTTCGCAAACACAATTACTTTATTATTGAAACAAGTCGAACCTCGTCATTATCACTTCGAGTAACCTGTAATATTAACAAAGGACCACTAGCTTTCAGAACTTCGACTGCATCATAATGATCAGCGGAAAGTACGGAAACTCCATTTACAGTTATAACTTTATCGCCAACCTGTAAATGATACATGTTTTCCCATAAGAAATTATACAGTCATCTCAACAAATAAATGTTTCATGTTTTGAAAGTTACCTTGAGTCCAGCCAAATCAGCTGGTCCTCCGGGAGTGACTCGTGATATGAAAATACCCTCATCATCACCTTTGAATGGAGTTGAACCAACACCACCAGCTATGCTTAAACCTAATCCTGAACCTGTCCTAGATACGCGTATTTCATGCACGATTTCTTTGCCACCTGGAATAACGTATATATAAATAAACTATGCAAAAAAATAATAAGCTACAGTTCAACTGTTTTTTTTTTTGCATAACCCTTTCGCTACGGCGGTGTTTTCCATACAAGTGACAATGCTGTACAAGCCAGCAAGCCGCTCAAGAATTTGTTACACAAAATATTTTAAGCTTTATTAATCATTATTAAAAATAAAAGTTCATTTGATACATTTTGAAGCAAAAGTCGACACACTGAATGTCGTCTATATGCGACACTCGTACCCACAGACCGATGTCAGGGGGATGTCGCCAATAGGCGACGCTCGTAGCGAAAAAGTTGAATATAAATTCGAGGAAGTAGAATATGACCATTAAGTATTTTAAATATTAGGATTTGTAATTTTTGCAAAAATATATTTGATTTTTTACACACGGGAAGTTACACTGGATCTTCGACGTCTACGCGATCCCCTCCTCGGCAAAGAATCAACTTTAAATTTAACTTTCAGCATAATATTAATTTTATTTTAACTCAGGTTTTAATTTTTAAAGCTAAATGTAATGGAAGACATTAAAACACTATACAAATGTGTCATGTTTATGTACATTACTGAATAAAACGATAAAGGTTCTCTTATCAAAATCAAACAAGATAAGTTTTGTGCGAGGGGAGGTGTGTGTTTGGATACGAGATACGTTATCGTTTTATATCATAAATAGTACAAATTCTTTAGTTTTTTAAATATAACAAATATTTCGGAATAAAAAAATTATCAGCATGTATAAAAGGTGTTTGATATGACTCACCTAACGCGTTCATGAGTTGTTCTTCTCTTTCGCGTTTGATAACCTGAAATGAAAATATTTATGTCACCGTGAACGAAAATATATTTTCATATATATTATTAGGGCGATTCAAATTGCCAAAGAGTGCACAGGTTGCACATCGCGATACTAGTTCTATGGCCCATTTCAGAAACTTTGCCAAAGAAACTGTAGCTCAACGCCATTGCAAGTCAGCAAAACTTTGAATATAGTTTCTTTTCCATACACATATTTAGAAAAAATCAGGTTTATTCGTCTCAGAATTTGTTGAAATTTCGTGTGGTTATAGAGTTGATAGTCAAGTCAGAACTCTTAAAATATTAAAGGCCTATAAAAGTAGTTTAATTTTAATAAATTAAAATATATAGGCTGCACGCATAGTTTTCTGTCGCCATGTTAGAATTCCAAACATTTGCGTTCCAAATTTTTTAGCGTATTGCATTTTTGCATTTGCATTTAAATATGTAAAGAAAAAAAAATATATTCGGACAACAGTTTCTTCGGCAAAGTTGCTTAAACTGACCCATGAAATAAATCAGAATTGCAAAGTGTCCCAATGGCCAAAAATTTGATTCTCTAATATATTAATTACACATATAAAACATATACATATATAGAGATACAACACAACATTAATACACTGATGGATAAATGAAAAAAATAAAATATACGTAAAAATTGGAAAAATGACGAGCAAATGAAAACACTAACGTCTACGAAAACATTAGTTATAAGTGCAATAAACAAATGCTTGAAGTTCGAAAAAAGCCTTTCGATCTACCGCTTCGATCAAATCATATTAGCATCTATGCAAAAGTCAAAAAATGAAAATAAGATGATAATGGCCTGTTAGAAACATTTCAGAAATTACCGCATCGAGCAATGCCATTTTTTCCTTGTCAGGAGTGGACGTCACTCTCTTATTTTTAAGGTGATGGGGGGTATCTCTCCGTTTCAGTTTGCTAACTTTACTGTCAGCATCCGCATTTTCTACGAATCCAACCTTTTTTTCTTCGTACTCTTCATCCTGATTATAATCATTATTTTTTAACAAAAATATTATCATCTTTCTCTGAACCTTATGTTGCTTTTCTACTTGATGAGCTATTATTCTTCGAAACATGTAGAGACTTAAAACACGAATTTCAATGCGCCTTGGCTTAATATAAATGTATTTTACGTGGTGCATTGGGTGTAAAATAAGACAGGTTTTACTTAACACTTCAGTGGAACATCGACGCATAGAACTTACATTATTTCATCAAAGGAGTCACAAAATCCAATAATTGCGAGAAAAATGCAAATCTAAAAAATGCTTTGAAATGCAGTAAAATATTTAGTAAAACGCAGATGTCCCACTGATTTATTAGAGTTGGGCCAAATATATAGCAATCTGCAGTCGGATACATGTATAAGACTCAGCAAGGTTATGAAACATGGAAATAGAAATATCACAGGTTATAACTTATATTTTTAGAAGACCATACCTCAAGGTAAGCAGCACTGTCCACATCTTCTGTAGGTTCTGTTGAAGCATCAGCGGGACTCGTAATGACTTCTTCATGTACAGCATTAGGCGCGACAGAATACGTACTATCTAACTGCACATTTGCTTTCACGTCGTTAGGTACTATTTGCTAATTAAAAAAAAATAAAAATAATTAAATTATACATATACTTGCAGGTATTCGACAAGATAGTATTCGACAAATACCTTAGTAGCTTCCACAGGTTTCGTTCCGGTAACAAGGTGGTTAACGGCAACCGATTGTTGTTCCTCGGTTGAGTTTTGCTTTGATTTCAAAAACAATTTTTGTGCTTTAGCTTTCAATTCCTTAGGATGAGGTGTATTTTGTCTAACAAATGGAGTCTGAAAATTTTTAATAGAAATATTAATATTTCAGTATCAAAATCTATTTACTAACAATTATTTTTCATAACCCGAAAGGGTAAGGTGTAGTCAATCCTAAGATTTTTTTAATTGTTTGCATTAATCTCTATTATTTTTTTATTATGCATGATTGAAAAATACATACGTTCTAAATTTTTACATTTTAGTAAACCAAATGATTTTTTGTCCCGCTTTCATATAATATAAGTGAACAATTTATTAGAATTAAAGTGCGGGGGTTGTCCAACCCTAAAACATTTTTTAAATATTTCAATTGTAATAAGATAAGTAAAATTTTCAATTACTTCTTTATCTTGTTCCCGTGCTTTTTGGTCGGAATCATCGTGTTGGAATTTAACAGTGGACGTTCGTGAGGCCTCCCTTTCCTCCCAGTCGGTAGTACCACCGCTATCCGTGTCTAATAAATAAATAAAAAAAAATTAAAATTTGTGATCATATTTTAAAAATTATAAATATTTATTCTCCATAAAATCGGAAATTTAAACAATATATTTTTAATACATGTTGATACAATTTTATGCTTTCAGAGGTGCATTTGTGCCAGATGATAGTGTTGGTATGTGCTAATTATTTCATGCGTGTAATATAAGTTTGGAAAATCAATAAGATATTATACAATTATCTTTCTGATCAAAATCAACAATACGATAACTATCTTACCTTGGAAATTAATATCACCGGATTTAAACTGTTGTTCTGACCGATATAATCGTCCGTCAGTCCACTCGAAATCTGATGTTAATTAACAAACAAAAAACAAAAACATACATACAATGTGAAAAGTGAAAATGTGCATATAATAAACAAATATTACAAGAACTGAACAAAGCGCAGTAGCATAAGACAATGTGCACGTGGTAAAAGCAAACAGAAATTCATTATTTAAATATTCATTACAATATGATTTTCACGAACAAAAGAGTTCGTATTTGAAAATAAGGTAATATAAAAAGAATTTTTTTTTCTTACAATAGGATGATATTTGTGCGTTAGTTTAGCGGTGCATTGTGCAAATTTTTTAGTGTCCTGAAAGCAACCTTATCCCCATGATATTGCTGATTGAACATTGAAAATGTTTTTTGTACTTAATAAGTATTAATTTGATATTCTTAACAATCACGGTTTGTCCAGTTCTATAAAAAAATAAATAAGTTATCATAGTATGCAATGGTACTACGATAGTACGCCAACGTGCTACGATAGTACGATTTCGTACTAGAATGATGATCGCACGCTTACGTAGCACAATGGCATGCTTTCGTACTACAATGACACTCTATCGTAGAACAATGGCGACGAATTGCGCTCTTTCGTACTACAATGACACTTATCGTAGCACAATGGCGCTCTTTCGTACTGCAATGACACTTATCGTAGCACAATGGCGCTCTTTCGTACTACAATGACACTTTCGTACTGCAATGACACTCTATCGTGGCACAATAACACGCTTTCGCACTATGAAAGTAGGCTATCGTACTGCAGTGGTGGTACGCTATCGTACCATAATGGTAAATTATAGTAGTAATATAGTACGCAATAGTAGTACGACAGTACGCTATTTAACCACCATAGTACGGCATCGTACTATAATATTACGATATCGTACCACGATAGTATGCTACAGTAAGATAGTATAAATACATTATGCTAGGTGTGCAAAATAATCTAATATAAATTATATAGCTATTTAAAGTGATCACCATCGATAAGGGATAGTGCGTTGCCAAGTAAATTTTTTGCCTAGTTAAGTTTTAATTACGTTCAATTCAGTGCAAAGCAAGTTATTGCATTTAATCGTACAACCACCAATTATCTGAATAAAAATTGTATTATGAGCATCAGTCACATTTATTAAATTGCATTTAGCCTGTTGTAAAGAAAAAGATTTAATTTGATACCGAGATTGATTCAGAAAACATTTAATTAGATAACACAAAAAAACAAATAAATTAATCAAAACTTAAAGCAAACTCAAGACATGAAAAAATGATTATGTTAGTTTTAAGTCATGATGAAAAGCAATAATAAGAGGCAATGAATGATCAATTTGCACAAAATAAAATCGATTAATATTTCTTTTATCAAGGCAAAATTCTTTAGCACAACATATTAAATTACCTTGCGTTGTAGGATGTTGGTAATCTTGTTGTGGTAACAAGAAACATGTCAGCACCTGAAGATAAAAAAGAACATGTATCAAAAACTTCCATTAAAATTTGATATTAGCTTATACAAATATTTTGTCTACCTGTTCTGAGGTCGCTTCGTCAATATCAGTTTGGAATGTAAGAAGTGGCTGGGCTTGGTTTTCTGATAACCAAATCGCTTTTAATTGCAAATTAACTAAAGAAAATGGAAGATACTTTAATCTGAAAAGAAAAACATGGAGTAGAATTTCATGAAATTGATAATGAAAAATTCTTAAATAATTAGTCTGGCAATTTATCGTGTAAATTACACCCACATTCTAAAGATAAAATAATTCTGAAGGGGAGTAATGAATTTGCAAAGGATCATATTGCCACCATATCGCCAAAACGGAATGTTTGGCCATACTCGGCGGCGCGATACCATAATGTTATTTAATAATAAATAAAACCGAATAAAAATTCCAAGACCAAAAATTCGATAACAAAACTTGAAAAATCCGATATCAATTACTCGCGTCATTTTATTTAAATTATTATAAAAGTGTAAACAATTTCGTCATAGTTTTGCAAAAAGCCCTGTACAGATTCGAGAACTTTGAAACCGTTCAAAAGTTCAGTTGGGAATCCTACTGATTTTCAAATTTAGCCAAAGATCTAACTATTTTAATAAAATTTTGCATAGCGATAAGAGAACATCCAAAAATATTATATGAATTGCATTATAGATATGCGGATACATTTGAAATTTTATAAATAAGTTTATCATCTCACCTATTTCCGGACACGTCAAGAACATGCAATGACTTGCAGTCTCCGAGTTCATTAGGCACAACTGTGAGTTTATTATCACGCAATGACAATACGCCAAGCATCGTTAAATTACCGATCTGGTGAGGTATTGACACCAGGCTGTTACGATCGACGTTCAGGTTCGTCAAGCGCAACAGGTTGCCGATACCAACGGGCAAGGACAGGAGGAAATTTTCAGTCAATATCAGCTCCTGCAGATTTTCACATCTGAGAAAAAGAAAAATAGTAATTGTAAAAATCATAAGAACAGGTATAACATTTATCATAAATATCCTTTATCACTTACTTTCCTATGTTGCTATTGAGCGTGTGCAGGCGATTCTGGTCCAATTTTAAAATGGTCAATTTGTGCATTTCACCGATGCCATCAGGTAACTCCTCGATGAGGTTTTGTGAAAGTAGCAAATCAGTGAGATTGGCAAGTCCTCGCAACACCTTCGAATAAAATAAGATAATTCATGATAGATGTTAGTTCACATTTAAATGTAAACTTCGTGAGAATAGTGTAGTTGTCTGCGAATCACGAATGACCATTGCTATCTTTACTGCGGTCGTCTTACGATTGCAATAAAGTTTATGGCGAGCTAAGAATGAGCAGGCTAAAGTCTGATACCGCATTGAGGTGGTCTACAGTAGTAAATAAACAGGATCAAATCGGAAACTATTTATTTTAGATTCAACTCTAATTATATTATAGTAGAAATCTCCATCAGAATAGGTAAATTGATTGCCATCCGAAAACAAACAACACAATAATTCATATTCATATCAAATTTTACTTATCAAATTAATTAATATGATCAAGAGGTAATAAAAGATAAAGACTTTATAGACTTTTGAGAAATGCTACCAACTTTAATTTCCAAATAAATCTAAAAAAATACACTAAATGTTCCATTTATTCCCTTACCCGATCAGGAATTGTCTCCAATCTATTCTCCGAAACGTCGAGACAAATCAGACTGCGCAAAGAGCCAAGTTGTTCTGGTAGAGACTGCAGCTGATTATGATCTAACCAGAGCTCCTGTAATGCTGGAAGGGATCCTATGTGTGGGGGCTGATAAAATAAATTATTAAATTTATTAATATTATATCATTTAACCTAGTACTTTATTATTCACATATAAAAACTTTACTTTTTGCAAATGTTCTAGTTTGAACAATAAATAATTTTGAAACATATTATTTTCTGAAAGCTCATGCGGTGGAGCAGTCTCGTTCATTTATTACCATGCACATTAAATTCGATAAAACTTAGTTAAAATTTGTTTCTCTGAACCAATTTAAATTTCTATACATTGTTTATTTCCAACATATTCAAATATTTTATATATGTCCAATGTTTTCGCACAAGGCCAAAGTAAATTAACGGTTATCGTTTGTTTATACAATCGTTCAATGTAAAACAAATTTATCTGAATACTACATATGTATTGTTTGACTTGTGATCATAAATAATAATATTCTAGAATTAACGTCGATTTATCCTTTACACGCTAAATTATATCCTTATGAAATAAATTTTTAGCGTTAAAATATACATTTTCAGAATGTTTAGTGTGCATATAGCCTGGCAATTAACAAAGCATAAATTTTAATTGTATTGCTGATATTGTATATTTTGCAATAAATTCACAGAATTTACTGCTGCAAAAATACACTCATAATTCATAGAATTGAATAAGCATACGAAAATGCAAATTTAACCATTTTTTTGTATTTCGTTTTAATTAATAATTAATAAATTACTTACCAATTCTTCTAATTCATTATCACCTAAATCTAGCCTCTGCAACTTTGAAAGTCGACTCAAAGACTCAGGAAGAGATTTTAATAAATTTTCTCTCAGTTCTAATGATTCTAGTGATGTCAAGCTGAAATAAACATGATTTAGAATATTTATTGAAATTGTAAATAATAACTAATATAAACAATACTAAAATCTGAATATAAAGTAAGATTTGTAGATCTATTTTTAGATCGGTCATCAGAAAAATGTTATTAAGCAAAATCCCAATAAATTTTAATAAAATATAATTTCTCATAATTTATGTGGTTAAAATATAAATCTAAATATACATATTGTGTGTATATAAATATAAATATGTATATATATAAATATATTGACGTTAATGCCACCGCAAACAACAATTTGAAAACACAAACGTAAAAATAGAATCGCATTATTTTTAAATGGCGAGTGAATTTTCATGTGTTAATATAATTACATCTCAAATCTGGTTCATACGCGTGTGAACATTAAGCATTTCGTATGAAAATAATATTTAAATATTATTCAATTTATTTACTAACTGAACAAATAAATAATAAACTAGTGGTGCATGGCATCGTGCCTTAAGGCAAATTGCTGGTACTTCCCGTATCCAAAACTAAATTATAAAATTAGATTTTTGAGAAGTCTTGAAATTTTTGAAAAAATTGATTTTTTTGTATTCTGATTTATTTTGAATATTTTGAACATTTTTTTTAAATCCAAGAACCGCTCCAAACAGATTTGCCAAGAAACTCGACTTCTAATTATGAAAATTTATAACTCCTCAAATATTTAAAATAAATATATAATATATTCAAACAATTCGTAGTACAAATTCTGAATTATCGATATTTATACAAATTTTACAAACCTATATAATAAATTTTAGAAATATTTGCAAATTAAAGGCCAAAAACGCTTTAAAAATATTTGTCAGACAACTCGTGGTGTATTTGAAAAATTTGTAACCCCAACAAGTAATTAAACATTTAGTTTTCGCTTACATTATTATTTTGTTATTGTATAAAATTCAATTAATAAATGTATAAAATTAACATATATTTTTACGTTCAATATTTTATAACAAACTTTAGTACAGTTAGAAATTTATTTTTAAAAAATCGATATCAGGTAAATAGGGGGTCCATGACAAAAAAACAGTTTGGAAACTTATGATCTAAACAAAGATTCTAAAATATTAGAGTAGTTGAATAATTAAAGGCAATTTCTTTCCCCATTTTTCTGATGTGTAATTGAAACTAAATGCATTTAAAACGCAGACAAAAATAAATTTCAAATAAAGTAATTTCTCAGCCATCAATTTTTCTAATAACCCATTAATCTACCCTTCAAAAGTAATTTTCACAAACTGCAATGTAAACAATGTTGGCCGTATCAATTTCGTCAAATTTATCGACCTTTAACCCGCACCCAGCCTGTTTTCAGAACCTAACCCTGTTTTCATCTAATAAATGCGATTAAAATTAAACGACTAGCAAATATTGAAGTTAGGTATCCAGACAAAATCACTTGAGGCGATCTTATAGAAAACGATGAACTAAATTGGTAAATGAAATTTTAAAAGGGGTTATAGACATTTTAGAGTATCCACATTTTTTTCACCATGTACATTACAAATAAACCTAGTAGACATCTAGCAAACATAATAAAATTGATATAACTAATGGTGAAAAATTGCTAGAACTTGCCGTACCAAATTAAAATTTTGAAAATCCGAATTATTTTCGGTATTCAAAATATTTTTTTTTTTGAAATATTTTTTTTTCTTTCCCAAAAACAATAGTTTCGTCAACACAAGCAAACAGTTTTTTGAATCATTCGAATCAGATGCTTATTTCCCTCAAAAAACTGCCATTTTTGCACATTTAGCTCCGTATCTAAGAAATGGCTGAACCTGTCTTTGTCAAAAACTAATCACTACTTTTATTATAAGGATTATTCAAATCGAATGCTCCGTTCTCTCAAAAATTTGATTTCTATCTTCTGCACTCTTTGCTCCGTAACTCCAAAACGGCTGGACTGGCTTTTGCCAAAAACTAATCAGTAGGTCGCTCTATCAATAGGAATCGAATGTTTTTTGAATCATTCAAATCGGTTGAATCATGCGCCCGAAAACGTGAACGAAAAATTATATCCATACATACATACACACACACATAACAATTTTTTTCTAAGTTCAAACTTCAAAACGAAAAAATATGCAAAAATTTTCAATTTCGATTTTTGAACGATTACAATAACTTACCCTTCGAGTAGTTAATAAATAACAATGAGTGGAATTTACCAGTATTACTTCTACTTTAAATAAAAAATACCATTGGGTAAGAATGAAAATAAGTTTCCACATAATACAATAGCAAAATAAATTTTCTATATCTAGAAGAGTTCTAGTTGATGAGTTCTTATAAGTCTTTTTGGAAACAGCCAAAAGCTTTTGGGATCATTGATGGGATCGGAACCATCAGTTGCTTTTTTGGGGTGATCATATTAGTATCCTGATGAAGGAACCAGTTTGGAATATATTTAGGCGCTAACAGACAGATCATAAAGATTTTATTTTAAAATCTTTGTTATGTATTGATTTTGGGTAGTTGTCCTATAACCCAAAACTGTATACTACATATTCACGTAGATTTTATATTATCCTAGTTTAGTAGTTTATTATAGGTTGGTGAAAAGGACCTTGGTCCTAAAAGCCGGCACAGTTGTTTTCGAGTTGACACATATTTAGTGATGATCATAATAGTTCTATTCATAGAGAACATTTATTTAATAACATTTGCATTCCTTAACTGTTTAAGTGCTGATGAAACATACTGATTTCTATCTAATGGCATCATCGCAATGCAGAATAGTAAAATTTACTTGAATATAATAATGCAAGAGGAATGTATATAGAGCAGAATGAGTTATATCTTATGATATTTTATATATGTCATATATAAGAATACAACAAAGTACAACTTTTTTGTTACTTAAAAAGAATATTTTATGAAATTTTTGTTAATTAAATTTGTTAGTGCCCAGAGTTCACAAATATCGACAAAATGATGAAATGTCTATTGATGTTCACAGATTCATGATATAGTTACCTATAAAATTCATAAATAGTTAACCCGTTAACTTTGGCGCAATCATTGAACTGTGCGCACAATTTTGTGTGGCCAAAATCGAGGTCAAATTTAGTTTTGGGGTAAAAAGCCCCAATACTAAACATTTGGAATCTTAAGAATATATTTGTTGTTTTTTTATTTTTTGTTCAAAATTTGCAATCCAAATACCCAATGGTCAAAGATTTATACGACTGACGAGTATACTCGACAATCGCAGTTTCGAAAAAAGTATTTATTATAATTTTAGTAACAAGTATTTATTATTATTGTTTTGGCTTACCATCCGAAGTCGCTCGGTAAGCTCGTGAGGCTCATGTCATTAAGGCCTAGTACTGTAAGTGATGTCAGCTGACTAAAACCCGAAGGTAATTTAGGTATGGGGTTACTACTGAAGTCTGCTACCTGTAGTGCCCGCAGATGCTTGATGTCCTCAGGTATATCGGGAATGTCTGCAATGAAGTCATAAAATACAAATAATTAGACTAGTACGCAATTTCAACTTACAACTTACAACTAGTGGCTACAAGGCTCTTATCATCGATATAGATAGAGACGGTGTTTTTTTCCTTTACGTTTATTAGCCTCTAATAAAGATTTAGCCGTGTATGTAATATACAAATAAATTCTACTTACATGGTAACTTAACTTACTAGAAATGCATTATGTAAAACTGATACTAAATTAAGCGGTTTAAGTAAAAATAGTCATAGCCCTTCTTAGGATTGATGCATCAAATTAAAAAGTCATTAGCATTAAAAAAATTCTAATCAAAATATATCAAATATATATAGAACAACCATTAGGTGGTCTTCTAAAAAAATCCATGTAGTTAAGAAGTATCACCACAACAGCTCATAGAGCTCTTAAAGTTCTGATTGTTGTTCTAACAAATAAAATAAACTGGTGGTGCTGAAACTTCCCGTACCAAAAATTATAATTAAAAAAAAGCTTTAATTTTTTTTTTTGAAAAAAAAAAATGAGATTCTCGAGGATTTTGAAATTTTGGAAAAATTAGAACTTTTTGCCAAAGGTATCGCGGTTGCGTTAGCTAGAGAGAGACAAAATAACGAAGCGCGTAAGCGTTGCATCACATTCAAACTGTTGAACATTGGTAAGGAACCCATAGCAATGTAAATAAAAATTATACTTATTATAAAAATCTCTATAAAATATATGATAATTTGATGTGCATATGTCTAATGATCATTTATGACCCCCAAATGATTTTTCCTTTCTTATTGGATCTCCTAAACCGCTACACCTGCCTTCTCAAATTTTAATCTATTCATCTTCATTTCGCCAATACAAATAAATTTTTTTTGAATCACTCAAATCGGACGCCGATAACCGAATTGTCATTTTTTGCTATTTTTACACCGTATCTTCGAAACGGTTAGACCTGCTTTTTCCAAAAACTAATCAGCATCCATGAATAAAAATCAAATGTTTTCTGAATCATTCAAATCGGTTGATCCTTATTCTTAAAATCGTGGACAAAAATATGTATCCAAACATACATACATACTAAAACACACACACACATAAACATCCAGTTTTTTAAGGTACGCCAAAATGTTCAGTAGGTTTTGAAACGTAAAGATATATAAAAAATTTCATTTCGCGGAAATTATAACATATAGGTACTTGTTGAACTAGTAGTGAAATGTTCGAGGAATATTAAATGTTTTCAAATAGATTATTATAAATACTGTAATATTGTCTAATATTTTTAATTTTTTTTTGTTTATTAAAAAATTTGATTATTTGAAATTGATTACAATTATCGGGCTAGTGATAGAAGTCTTCAGCTCATTTACTCATTACAGTAATGAATTTTGAAATTAACTGACTATAATAATGTACTGAAAGTTATTACATGTTGCAAATTATGGATATTATTAATGATAAGAGAAAATCGGTGCTGAATTAATAAATACTTCTCCATTCTCCTGATATGTGTTTGATTACCGAATTAAATTTCGAATAACCAGATCAATAAATTAACTTCCACCTGTACTACATAGACTCAGAATCTAAAGTATCCAGTTTCTTAATTGGTGTTTAGTGTTTGAATGTCAGTGTTAATTATCATTTAACTCTCAAATTATCCAAATCGGTCTTTGTGTGAAGGATACTTCTACTCAGTGGCGGCGCTAGACCATTTGTCGGCGTCGGCGAAATTCGTTTGCGAGGCCCCCCTTTTTTAAGGACTATCACTAAAACTTTCCGTGCTGTAATTTAAATGTTAAAAAAAATCTGAAAACTTTGAAAAAAAAAATTATTTTTTTGAAAATTGAAGAATTGAAATAGATTTTTTTTTTATAAAAATTAACTTTTTTTCTAAATCGAGATATTTTTTATTTATATTTTGAATTTTTTTGAAAATTTTGAACTTTTTTTCAAAGCAATCACGCTTTGTTACCTCCCTGAGATGAAATATCGAAGCGCGTAAGCGCCGCGTCGTGGTCTAACGCGGAACATTGGTACGGAATGCATAGAAATCGAAACAAAATTTGTACTTATTACTAAAATCTTTATAAAATATCTGAAAATTCGATGCGTGTATATCCAATGATCATTTTTGTTTTGTTGAAAATAGCTTTTCTTTTCCTTTTTTTAATGGATCTCCAAAACCGCTTGACCTATCTTTCTAAAAATTTAATCAGTTTTGTTACAAAGTTAAAAACTAATTATTGTTGAACAAAAGTATCAGATATATTTTTAATCAGATATTTACACAAATTGAAATATACAAAAATTGCACAAGTTAAAATGAACAAACTCTTCGGCAAAAAAAGTTCGTTCATTAGATCTTAGTAAAACACGGAAATTAAATAATTATCCCGAAGATGTTTCTTTTTTGCCAAATTATTCGATTAGATAGTTTTATAATTTTTCGACTGTTCAAGTCTTTCTGAATGAAAATGATTAGAAACCACCGACTTAATCAATAACTAATTAGACAAAATTTTAAAATCTACAATTGATTAATTAGATTTGAAAAATGTATAATCGTAATAAATTGAGTGCACAAATACGCACATAGAACGTACACATGGCATGACCTAAAAGATCGGGCCATTATTCCAAAATTTAATGAATTTATATAATTAATCAATTATTGTAGTTCCATAAACTTTATGTTAGTTTAGACTATAATTTTTATCTTTATACCGAGTTTTTTTTCTAAAAAAAATCTACAATTAATTACGAAGAAACGACGCGGTCGATTTTTACGAAAAACTTACAGCCAACTGAAAACTTAAGAGTTTTTGAATTTTCAAAATCGGTTCAGAAATTTCAAAATGTCGGATTATTTGAATCGACCGATTTAAATGATCAACAGAACATTCCTGTTGATAAATTGGCAAAAGCAGGTCCAGCGGTTTTGGAAATACAAAAATAGTTAAAAGGTTATTAATCAATTTGGTGATGCAGTTTTTGAAAGAACTTACCATCTGATTAGAATGTTTAAAAAAATATATCGACAGTGTAAAATAATGATTAGTTTCAAATTAACAGTATTTATAATATTTATTTAAAAAAAATGTAAACCATTGTCAATTCTCATTGATCAATTTTGATGGAGCGTTTATTTAGTTACTGTTTGGATACGTTAAGATAACTACATGTTTGTATTCCTAAATAATGATTTACATTATGCTCACATAAAAAACACACAAATATAAACAACCAGAGAATTAGCCGCCTTGCGCGAAGAAATCTATAGTAATGACAGACGATATTAGATAGTGCCCATAAGAGATAAGAGAGTAAAATGAGAGTGCCCGCAAACCACTAATCTTCTTTACTCGCTCATCAGCATAAAAAAAAACTAAATAAAAATTGAAAACTAAACTTTAAATAATAAAAATTTTTTCGGGGCCTCTTGCGAGGCCCCCACAGGCGCGAGGCCGTCGGCGGCCGCCGACACCGCCGACGCCTAGCGCCGCTACTGCTTCTACTACTCATTATCAGTCATGAGCGACTCATTAGCATTTATTGAACGCCTGTCAGTTACAAAACATGTTGATCTATAGAAAAATCTGGAATTAATAAGAAAAATTTACCGCAGTGCTGTTATGGATTATGTAAGAAGCGGTGCTAAATTTTACTAATTATTGTTGTGTCATAATTGACCTATATGCCTTGAATTTTGGTCTAATATGCTGCAATTTTTTTACAACTATAATATGTATTTTTTTTTAAATATTGGTAATTGACTAATCTTGCTGCAACTAATTTTTAGTAGGGTAGGAAAATCATATTTTCTATCCTCTGTCATCGTCCTATCATTTTTTTTAACTTCCCGCAGAGTAAGTTATTGTAAAATAACTTACCAAAAATCGAAATTGAAAATTTTTACATTTCTTCGCCTTTTGAAGGTTTCGGAAAATTTTGGCATACCTCAAAAAAAAAATAGATGTGTTTGTGTGTGTGTAATGTGTGTATAGATAAAATTTTACGTCCACGTTTTAGGGCACGCGGATCAACCGATTTGACTGGTTTAAAAAACATTCGATTCCATTAATAGGGAAATGTGCTGGTTAGTTTTTGGCAAAGGTAAGTCCAGCTGTTTCGGAGATACAGAGAAAAGAGTACAGAAAATAGCAATCGAGCTTTTGAGAAAACGGAGCATCCGATTTGAATGATATAAAAAGCATTCAATTAGTAATGATTGGGAGAAGTGGTGATTAGTTTTTGGCAGAGGCAGGGCCAGCCATTTCAAAGATACAGAGCTAAATGTTAAAAAAATTGTAGTTTTTTGAGAAAACTAAGCATCCGATTTGAATGATTCAAAAAACTTTCTGCTTGTGTTTGTTCCAAAAAAATTTGTTTTGTATATCGAAAATAATTCAGATTATAATTTTCATTCTGGCTAAATTTCTAAAGATCACTTATATACTTAAAATAAATAATTTGAACTTTGTAATTTAGTTTATATAATTCTTATAAATATTAGACAATGTTACACTATTTATAATAATCTATTTAAAAACATTTAATATTCCTCGAATATTTCATTACGGTACGGAAAGTTCCAGCAATTTACCTTAAGGCACGATGCCATACACAACTAGTTCTTATGTGTTTTAAGAGCTTATAGAGCAAGATTTATGTGTAAAAAAGCCCAATTAGTTCTTTGTAATAGTTTTTAGGCTGGTGTATTTTTAAATCAATTATCTAATGAGATATTATTCATATTAATTTCTTAAATGTTCTAAATCACTGAATACAATCACTGTGAGAAGCCCAATTAGCCAAATTAAACTTTGCGCTATGAACAAAACTAATTTCCAAATACCTCATGGATAAAAGTTACCAAAACCATTACCGATCAAATGTATCGTTCATAAATATTTAAAAAATGGTTTTTAACTTTCATTATAAAAATAATGCCCAGAATACATATTTCGTTGCCCAAAATTAAACACAACATTATATTCTAATGATAACAACAATCTGTATTATTCCCAGACAAAAAGTCAAGTAACGCAATTACAAGACGTTTACTCTTGGCCGTGTTTTATTTGTTTAAAGAGCTCTTTGTGAAAACTCATTAAAATTCACGTTCAGTAAATGGAACTTGTTGCAGTTAATTTAAAACAAACAGTTTAACAGCCAATAAAAACTCAAATGCTTACCATTTCTTGATACGTCAAGCTCCACAAGATTTTCAAAATTTTGAATTTCGGCAGGCAACCGGTGAATTTCATTATCACTAAGTCCGAGCTTCCGTAATCGTTGAAGGCGAAAGAAATTCTGAAATAGAAGGAAAATAGTATGTGAAAATATTGAAATTTTAATAATACTAAAAACTTAAAGTTATCATCTCCAATAATAATAGATAAAGTACAGCATTATTGGTTGACATTTTTGATTGACTTCTCATAGGCCTATAATATTTTAGTTTGACTAGCATCTGCTCTATCCCAGTTGTTTCAGCAAATTCTCAATAAATATTAGATCTTGTAAGTTGATTTTTTAATATATAAAGGAACTAGTGGTGTATGGCATCGTACCTTAAGGCAAATTGCTGAAACTTCCCGTACCAAAAATTACATTTTTAAAAAAGATTAATTTTTTTTAAACTGAAGAAGATAGATTTCTGAGACATATTAAATTTTTGAAAAAAAAAGACAGATCTCAGAATTTTTTTTTGTTTAAAATATTTTGGAAATTTTGAACTTTTTTTTTAAACAATCGCGGTGCTTTAGCTGCATAGAGACAAAATATGAAAGCGCAAAAGCGCCTCGTAGCAGTTTTACGACAAACGATGTTTTCTGAAACCCATAAAAATGAGAACAAAATTTATTTGTATTATTTTGGCACTGTTTTTGGCACTTTTTGCCCCGTATCTTCGGAAGGACTAGACCTGCCTTTGCCAAAAAAAATAATCAGCACGTCTCCTCATCAATAGGAATCGAAGGTTTTTTCAATAATTGAAATCGGTTGAACGGTGTTCTTGAAATCGTCGACGAAAATTTGTATCTGAACACACACACACACACGTATACATCCATTTTTTTTAGGTATGCTAAAATGTTCAGAAACCTCTAAAACGTAAAGATATGCAAACATTTTCACTTTCATTTTTTTTTTTGCGATTACTATAACTTACCCTAGGGAAGTTAATAAATATTTTTTTCTGGAAAAAAAAATAATTTTTACAGTTTAACTGTTAACTCCATCACCAGTCGAAAATTCATCAAAATCTTAGAAAAGTAAACCTAAGGTTCTCCTTGTTAGATTATGAATATTATATTTTAACACTCCGTGTTTCACTAAATACAAAATTTTCAAAGAACAAAAAAATTTTCTAAAGACCATGTTCTTCACAGATTTCCTGAAGATGGAACGAACATAGTTCAGAAAAGTTGACAATAAATGAGTTTTCTAAAAAAATTTTTTTTGTTATTTATTACTATTAGATTCCTTAGTCCATGCTGAACAATATATAATTTGTTTATACAGATCTTGGCACTTTTTTAATTTATTATTCCGCTCAATGATACTTTCGCCCACATTACATTTAAGATCAAAAGTTTCAAAAGCCTCTGTTACATTCTCCCGCCGAATTTGAATCCCTAAAAACGGTGTTTGTTGCTGGGTGCCCATTTGCTTCGCATTGTATTTTATCGTAATCGTCAAAAATAAAATATTCATAAAGGTATTGATTATATTATTCTGACAACTCTCTCATTTTCTTCTCCTCCGAATAGGTAATTGCTATTTTTGTAATTGCCTTCGCTTTCGTGGCAATTAACTTCGGAAGTTGAAATTCGCATTTGGCCGGGATTCATATAAATCGCCGAAAGGAAAAAAAAACGATGTGAACTAAATGTTTTGATGGAAAATGAATTTTTGATAGAGTTCTGTATGTATTTTCTTTCAGAGTTATAATTGCTTATTTTTGTACTGGAAAAATAATTAGGTATAAAAATACATGTTCTTAATTCAAGTGTTTCAAATAAAATTAATCTTACATGATCATATAAATATGATGTGCAATTCCTAACCGATAAGACTCTCTTTAATTATTATTTTGATAATGAATATTATAAATTGCCTTTTCCATTTAAAACATGTTTAAAAATACTCATTCTTCATTGAAAAATTTCAAATCAAATTCTTCTTGCATTGGAATTGATAAAAATATATTTTAGTTTGTTTTAATAAATAGTGCTCTGGTATATATCACCTGATTTGCGTAGTAATAGTGACGAAAGAGCTGTATAAATATACAAACATATATATATATATATATATATATATATATATATATATGTGTGTGTGTGTGTGTGTGCGAGTGTGTGCGTGTGTGTGTGTGTGTTGATATTAATTGAACACCTTAGATTATTCACAAATTAATATAAATTTTTATGACTCCTCCTCACAAATATATCTCTTTCTAGTATAAAGGGTTCTTCATCCTTTCTTGATAATATACGAGTTTTTCTTATTTTAAAAAATTATGAATATGATTTTTAATTTTGACAATACTTAATTTCTCCCCTTTTAAATTCAAAAACTCCAAAAAAAACTACAGAATTTGTTTATAAAGTAGATTGCAATGATTGTAATGTTTGTTCATAAGTCAAATTTTTCAATTCCAGTACAAGAGAATATATCAACATGTTTAAAATTATAAAAATCCAAAACTGTGTTTTCCGATCAAATGATAAATTTCAAACACACCTTTGATAAAAATAATCCTATCAGTAATTAATTAATTATCCCATATAAAGAACCAGACAGCTTGCAATTATATGGAAATAAAAAAGAAAAAAAATCTGCAATACCTTGTTTTATTTATTTAAATTGTTCTAGTGTTAATGAACGTAGTTCTTCTTTACTTTTACTTTTTGAAAGTTACCAAAAAGGGCTGATTAACATTTGTAAATCCAATGTATTTCCTTAATATTTAACCTCATGTTTTCACTTACATACTTTTTATTTTTCATTTTTTGTTTTTTTACTCTTTGTTCATTCAATGAAAAGTTTTAGAAGTTACTTGATTGAACCAGATGATTTTATAATATGTCAATATATAAGGTTGTCAAATATCTCCCTTCCGCCTTTTTGTATTATAAATCAAGAGCAAAAAAGCGGAAGGGAGATATTTGACAACCTAATATTATGAAATTATAATACGTAAATATTTTATAAATGTTTTTTTACTAAAAAAAGTTTAGCACAAGAAGAAGTATAAGCAATACAAGGTTAGGGGTGAATGTGTTATCCTACTATTTCACAAAAAGGCAATCCAGCGGTTATCCATTCTCCTTTGCGTGGCGATTATATTTAATAAATATTTATCTATCTAGTTATGTTGCAGCAATGCCTTCGAGTGTCTATTCTCACTTCAAATCATATTTGCAATATATGACCTATCTGGTATCATCCTGCTTGATATCGAGCTGGCCAGAATTGAAACCAGGAATTGCTAGTCCATGTTCATTTCCTCAACTGGCTCTGATTTTTCTAGTACCTATCGATTTTTTCTACGCTGCCATAGAAAAATATTTAATTATATTATATCATTTCCATTTGCATGAGTCCATTGTCGTGTGAGCCTTATTGATGTCGTTCGTATGACGGTGATCACAGACAGGTATTTCTATGTAGGTAGGTATCCGAGCTACTCTCTGATGCAGTTCAACGCGCATTGTTGACGATCAAACGGATAACATTTTGAATATTTAATGTGCATCGGAAGTGAAAAACTATACATTGACACTATTATTATGTTTCGATTCGCGACGGCTCTAGATTATGCGATAAAAATTGATTATTATTCATTCATATCTCATATCTATTATGATTTAGTTATCAGTATTGTTTCTATAACGTCGTATGGTTTACGAAAGTTCCTTCTATCAACAAAAAAACTTACCGCTGGGTAATTTTTTATTTTTGTTCTAACTTCCTTCATATTAGCGATAATATTTTTTGTTTTATTTTATCTATATAAAACAGATTGCAATTGTGTGTAGTGAAATAAAATAATCATTTCTGTGTGAACAAATTTGTTTTTGATAATTCCCAAAATAGTTAAAGTTAAATTAATGTATACCGACCAGGAGGGAAGCGTCAACATATTATAATGATGAAAGCACAAACTAGTGGTGCATGGCATCGTGCCTTAAGGCAAATTGCTGGAACTTCCCGTACCGATAATTAGAACTTTTACAAAAAACTCTAAAATTTTTTGAAAACTTTTTTTAAAAAATGAAATTTTTAAGAATTTTTAGATTGACTTTTGAAAAAAATTTGACTTTTTTCAAAAATTAGAATTTTTTTATACTATGAATTTTTCTGAAAATTTTGAACTTACAAAAAATGATGACCTGATCATTCGACTTAAAGAATTCATAATGAGGTCAAAGTCAAACAGCAAATTATTACATACCTAACAAAGCTAATTTATCCATTATTATCCTTCTCGATTGCAACATTTGTAACTTTTACACATAAAAAACAAAATTGAAGCAAAGTGAAGGAGAAATGAGTACAATATTCAACGAAAGTGTTATATACCATTCTAAATTTGACAAAGTTTTCTGCTAAAACTTATACAGTTTCACATTTTTGTGGATGCATTTTTTGTAATTAGCACAATAATAATATAGACTAGACATGATAATTGAATACAATGACAAAATGTTTTTTTTTTGAACAGCAATCAGGACTTAAAGGTACTATGATCTTTATAAATAGAAGAGCAGCAAATTAAAAATTCAAGAAAAAATTAGTACAGTCTAGTTTCAACTTCATTAAAGTGTAGACACCAATCTTATTTTATACAAAATTTTGAACTAAAACTTACACTAGTATTGTAAATTTCATATTTTTATGAATGCCTTGTTGTGACTTTCTCATTAGCACCATCATTAGACAAAATAATTGAGTACCATAACATTTTTTTGAAAGGCAATCACAACTTAATATGAACTTTTATACATTAAAAAAATGCATAAAGAAATGAGTACAAACAAGTCTAGCAAAAGTGTTAGTCTAAAAAATTTTGAACTAAAACATACACTAGTTTTACAAATTCCAAATTTTTGTGCATGCTGATTTTTTTCATTAGCACAATAATGTAGTCTGGACAAAATAAACAAATACTACGATAAAGTGTGTTTTTGAACACACTTCTTAACCATGTAGCTTCTTTAGCAATCCAACATTTGGCCTGTCTCTATTTGATATATTTTATTATTACAGTTTCTCTAACCAATAATTCACTTGCATCAATAGTT